GGAAACCAAAAAATTTGTGTGACTTGCTTTATTGAGGTATTTGTTTTGTTGCTGTGGTTTGCAGCCGAACTGGCAATATCTCTGAGGTGTGACTCTCAATTCATCAAGTATAAAGTGGAAAGGGTTTTGGTGCATGAAGCCACCAAATGAACCATTGCTTGCGTGAAATGAAGGTACAGAGGTAGAGTGTTTAGCTTTTTTCTTGAGGTCTTCATGTATTGCTAAGGCTTGCTTTCTCTGTCATTTTGAGAAAGCTTGCTCCTGATCATTCAGACATTTAACTTGGGAAAATCTTGTGTAAACCAATATTACTTCTGAGTTTTTCTGCTATCATTTCTCTATTTACTACTAGCATTTGAACTAATTCACATTCGAGAAATATGCTTTGTAGCAAAACTCATCTATTTTATTGATAGCATCTTAATCAGTGATTGTGAAAGCCAAATCTTTGATTTGATCCTTGCCTCAAGACTGAATTCTACTCAGCCTTTGTAGTTCAAAGACTGAAGTTTTACATTAAGCACTGACCTCTTCTTACCCTGTACATCCCTGATTTTCTGGATTTCTTTTATTCTTGATTATAAACTGATTATTATTTTCTGAATTCATCATTTTCATGTAATAATTTGTTAAATACAACTAACAGTATTACCAACACACTTGTAATAGTCCATTTTCCCACTAGAGCTACTAGCTTTTGTGGTGTATTATCTACCTTCTGCAGTAACTGATAGTTTCGTTGATCATTTCACTACTGCATAATATAAGTTGCTAATCTTTTAGCCTCCAATAACTTGCTTCCTTCCACCCAGCTCCTAAGCCTTTATCATATATTTTAGGCTTTTTAAGGTAGCACCCCACTTCTCTTGTTTCTACTTGTAGCAGTTTGGATAAACCAGATTATGCTGTGTTAATAAACAATGCAAAAATCTCAGTGGCTTTGAAAACACGCTATGTGGCCAAGTGCTGTGGGATTACACACCTATAATCCCAGCACCTTGGGAGGCCAAGGCGGGTGGATCACCTGAGGTCAGGAATTTGAGATCACCCTGACCAACATGGTGAAACCCTGTCTCTACTAAAAACATAAAAAAGTTAGTGTGTGGTGATGGGCGCCTGTTAGTCCCAGCTACTCAGGAGGCTGAGACAGGAGAATTGCTTGAACCTGGGAGGCGGAGGTTGCAGTGAGCTGAGATGGCACCACAGCACTCCAGCCTGGGAGACAGAGTGAAACTCCCTCTCAGAAAAAAGAGAACATACTATATGTATCCAGTACATCATATTAGCTGTTAGGGGACCAGGCTGAGAGCTGACATCACCTGAAGATTGCTAGCCACTGTGGCAGAAGGAAAAGAGGTCTGAAGGATTTCATATTGGTTAGTAAATGCCCTGCCTCTCCCTGCCACTTCTCATAATGTTCTGACCAGAAGTAGTTACAGGGCCCCATCCAACTAAAGGGAATAGGAGTTGTGGGGGTGGTTTAAAAAGTATAGCCTAGGCTGGGCACACTGGCTCATACCCTCAATCCCAGCACTTTGGGAGGCTGAGGCAGTTGGATCACTTGAGGTCAGGAGTTCGAGACCAGCCTGACCACTATGGCGAAACCCCATCTCTACTAAAAATACAAAAATGACCTGGACATGGTGGAGTGCACCTGTAGTACCAGCTACTCCAGAGGCTGAGACAAGAATCACTTGAACCCAGGAGGCGGAGGTCGCAGTGAGCCAAGATTGTGCCACTGCACTCCAGCCTGGGTGGCAGAGTGAGACTCCGTCTCCAAAAAACAAACAAAACAAAAAAAGTATAGCCTACCATGTGCCTAGAAGGCTTAGAGCAAGAAATATTTGGAAAATGAATTAATGATTACTCTTTTTTTCTTTTTCTTTTTTTTTTTTTTTTGAGGCGGGGTTTTGCTCTTGTTTCCCAGGCTGGAGTGCAATGGCACGATCTCGGCTCACCGCAACCTCCGCCTCCTGGGTTCAGGCAATTCTCCTGCCTCAGCCTCCTGAGTAGCTGGGATTACAGGCACGCGCCACCATGCCCAGCTAATTTTTTGTATCTTTAGTAGAGACGGGGTTTCACCATGTTCACCTGGATGGTCTCGATCTGTTGACCTCGTGATCCACCCGCCTCGGCCTCCCAAAGTGCTGGGATTACAGGCTTGAGCCACCGCGCCCGGCCTCGATTACTCTTTTTTTCTTTGTCTTTCTGATTTTTGTTTAACTCCTAGCTTTTGCTAGTTAATTGAATTTTACCGGCACTCCTTCCTTGCTTAATTTGAGATAATTAATATGAGGTTTATTTAAATGATACTCATAGTAGTTCACATCTCCATGGGTGAGAAGTTTTGGCACTTGTAGAATAAGGTTGCTCGGATTTTCCTCCTTAAAATATGAGGCATGAAACTGGTACAAAAAGATATGCAGTTACAAGAATGATTGAGTTTAAATTATTTCAAGGTGTCGTTTGTCATAATAGAGAAAGACCATGAGCTTTGGAGTCAGGCAGGCCTGGAGTCAAATACTAACTCTGTCATTTGATAGATTTGTGATCTTAGACAAATTATTTAGCCTCCCTGAGCCATAATTTTACCATTTATAAATACAAGAAAGTATAAATATATGTATTCAGATGTCAAGTAAAACATGGTAGCATTTATCACCACTTCTTCCTGAAATTCCATTAAAGCAAAAGTAAAATTTTCTTTTTTTACGAAAAGAATAGATTCACAAGGAAAGAGAAAATGGAAGGGAAAACAAAGGACTAGCATAGGAGTGATAGAAATAGTTGTGAACTACTCATAGTCATAATATTAGTAATACTCATTTTTTCCAAAGTTGTGATATAACTATATTGGGAGCATGAGGAAAGAGTTGGGAACAGTAAGGTAAGAAAACTATAGAGAAAGGCAAGGTTAAGTCTGTGTGCAGTGGCTCACGCCTATAATCCCAGCACTTTAGGAAGCCGAGGCGGGCAGATCACCTGAGGTTGGGGGTTTGAGACCAGCCTGACCAGCACAGAGAAACCCCATCTCTGTTAAAATTACGAAATTAGCTGGGCATGGTGGCACATGCCTGTAATCCCAGCTACTTGGGAGGCTGAGGCAGGAGAATTGCTTGAACCCAGGAGGCGGAGTTTGCGGTGAGCTGAGATTGCCCAGTTGCACTCCAGACTGGGCAACAAGAGTGAAACTCGGTCTCAAAAAAAAAAAAAAGACAAGGTAATATCTGAAATTGAAAAAAAAAAAAATCCAGAAACAGGAATATAATCAAATCATGCAGAAATACAGAATTAAATGGAGAGGGGGCAGCTAAAACAGTATTATTGCTTTCCAAGGAATGGGACTGAGATAAATTGGAATGTGGCCAATACATTTGACTTGTAAAACTATGACTTTTTTAAATGATTATTTTGATAAAAAGTGAATTTAAAAGTAAATCAGTCCCACCAGCCTGGGTATCATAGGGGAAAAAAAATTTTCTCTAAAAAATTTTTAAAAAATTAGCCGGGAGTGGTGCTGCATGTCCTAGCTATTCAGGAGGCTGAGGTGGGAGGATCACTTGAGCCCAGGAGGTTGAGGCTACAGTGAGCCATGATTGCACCCCTGCATTCCAACCGAGGCAATGGAGTGAGACCCCTGTCTTAAAACAACGACAAAACCCCCAAAGTTTTGTGGTGATTATTAAATATAAATAATGAACAGTAAAAACTATTATAGTGGCTTTGTCCATAGTAAGCATTTAATGTATACTAGTTTTCTTCTTTTTGTCAATTAGACAGTGGTATGTGTTTACAGTAATATCCATAAGACTCAGAGGATAGGTAGATTGGTTAAACAGCAATGTGAGGTATGTCACAAAGCAAATTATATGCCCTTCTAAGCTTTTTAAAAATTATTGTTGGATGGTTTTATTTTTCTTGGAACCATATCAACTTGATGGTTATGGCTTCTTAGAATTTAGACGCCTATGCAACTGACACACAAAAAATCACCCAGTTACTGAGTAGATGTAGTGAGCTATGAACAGAAAAAATGTTAAAATACTTGGCAGCTTTGAAATGACTCCAATAAACCTGAAAACAATTATATTTAAACCTAGATTATCAATTATTTAAGGCCAAGGACATGTTTCTTCTCTTCTGTAGTTACGTCAATTAGCTGCTTTGTTTCCAGGGACTACAGTGCCTGCCCCACTACCACCTCTGTTCTGCAAACTCTCACTGTTGTGGACATGGCGATTGATGTTGAAAGAAAGTCAGCCAGTATGAAGCTCTTGTGTGTTTCATGCCCACCACATTGTAAACTAGACCGTAAAGGCCCTGTGGATAGAGAGCATATATTTTGCCATATCAGTATATTCCATAGTATCTAAGAAAATGAATGCTGTCCAATATTATTTGTCATATATATACCATATGTTAGATACTATGCTAAGCTCTCAGGATATCTTGGTGAAATGGACAGATGTGGCTTTTGCTGTTGTAGAATTTATAGTCCAACAGAAAATGTTTATGAATTCCTGTAATCCAGTAAAATAATGGCCCATACTGAAACATTTAAGCAGTTAAAAGCATTGTATATGTAAAGAGTTTAATAATTTTGGCTGGGCTCAGGGGCTCACACTTGTAATCCCAGAACTTTGGGAGGCTGAGGTGGGTGGATCTTAAGGTTAGGGGTTCAAGACCAGCCTGGCCAAGATGGTGAAACTCTTTCTCTACTAAAACTACAAAAATTAGCCGGGCTTGGCAGCAGGTGCCTATAATCCCAGCTACTTAGAGGCTGAGGCAGGAGAATCACTTGAACCCGGGAGGCAGAGGTTGCAGTGAGTCGAGATCGTACCATTGGACTCCAGCCTGGGTGACAGAGTGAGACTCTGTCTCAAAAAATATATAATAATAATAATAATTTAAAGCTGTGTTTCTTGTGATTTAAATGCATGCTATAAAAAGGAAATAGTGGTATTATCTGATTATTTTTTCCTCTTTGCTTTTCTTTGTAGATAAGATGCTCCAACTCCCTTGCAGCTCTCTTCAGAAGAAAAATCACGAGTGCTCTGCCTTTGCCGTAATACCAGGCCTCTTTGACTTGTGCTTTGGTGCTGCAACACTGGAAGAATTGCACACAGTTTCCAGGAATATCTTTTTTTCATTTGAGTGATTCTTTGTGGATGAAAACAGAGTTGAGTCTTAATAATTACCTTGTTTAAAAGCTGTTTTCTTTATAGTCTGAACTGCTTAATAAATTGGGTCACCTACCAATGAGCCACACAGCCAGTTCTTGTCAGGAGCTGGTTGAAAGCTGTGCTGTGCATGTAGCAGGAATGGCACAAGAAGATAGCCGTCGTGGTCAAGTGCCATCTTCCTTTTATCATGGTGCCAACCAAGAACTTGACCTGTCCACCAAAGTGTACAAAAGGGAATCAGGAAGTCCTTATTCTGTGTTAGTGGACACCAAGATGAGCAAACCACATCTCCATGAAACAGAAGAACAGCCATATTTCAGGGAGACAAGAGCAGTGTCTGATGTGCATGCTGTTAAGGAAGACCAGGAGAATTCTGATGACACAGAAGAGGAGGAGGAAGAGGAAGAAGTCTCTTACAAAAGGGAGCAGATCATAGTGGAGGTAAACCTTAATAATCAAACATTAAATGTGTCTAAAGGGGAAAAGGGTGTCTCTTCTCAGTCCAAAGAGACTCCTGTTCTTAAGACAAGCAGTGAGGAGGAAGAGGAAGAGAGTGAGGAAGAGGCCACAGATGACAGCAATGACTATGGAGAGAATGAAAAGCAGAAGAAAAAGGAGAAGACAGTAGAGAAAGTCAGCGTTACACAAAGGAGAACGAGGAGAGCTGCCTCTGTTGCCGCAGCTACCACTTCCCCTACTCCCAGAACTACAAGAGGTCGTAGGAAGAGTGTAGAGCAACCTAAGCGTAAGAAGCGGGCCACAAAGGAGCCCAAAGCACCAGTCCAGAAAGCTAAGTGTGAAGAGAAAGAGACTCTGACCTGTGAGAAGTGCCCCAGGGTATTTAACACTCGATGGTACCTGGAGAAGCACATGAACGTTACTCATAGGCGCATGCAGATTTGTGATAAATGTGGCAAGAAGTTTGTCCTGGAAAGTGAGCTGTCCCTTCACCAGCAAACAGACTGTGAAAAAAACATTCAGGTAGGTTTCATCACCAAGAGGGCAAACTTTTCAGGATAGAACCTGGCTGTTCAGATTCATCTGGTATCCGCCCAAGAGAATAAATACAATAGAGGCTGAAGGGACAGATTTCACCAATTTATCATTTGAAAATCTGCTTTGGTCTTTTCTAAACCAAGGCTTTTATATCAAAAGCATTAAATTTAACTGACGCTGGACTAGTGGGAACCCAGGCACACTGGAAGGGGGATCTGTTATAGCTGATTGACCAGGAGGTTAAAATCAACACCAACTTTGCAGAGATTCATTGTTGTAGGAAATGTAATAGAATTCATTCTGGCATCATCTCTGTGGAGGTAAGAGTTACTGAGTAAAGGTTAGGAGTAGAGAAAAGTCCCTTTCTGGGTTTACAAGGATGCCAGATTCTAGTACAGCTGATGGGGACAAAAACCATAATGACTCAGACCGGTGGAAATGGAAGATCTTCAGCAGTGAGTTTGCTTTTACCATTGGAGAGATGACAACACTTAATTTGCCAAGAGGCTGAGCCCATGGGAATATGCAAACATTAAGCAGAGGCTGAGCTGGTTGAAAATGTTGCCCACCTGGCAGTAGGGTTACATAATGCCTCTACAGTATTGATAAGGTAACAAAATAATGGTACTCAAACCAGGCTGGTGTCGTGAAAGGACTAGTATTGTGATAGGTTAAAAACGTATGCTAATTGTATTATGTCGTGTGGATTGCAGCTATATTGGTTTGCACATGTGAATGCATATTAATGAATATTCATAAGAGGTAAGTCTATTCATGTCTCAATAAGATATGTAACAAATATTTTGTACCATATTTAAGCTAAACTTATAAATTGTGTTGGTTTGGTTTGTTTCTTGGCACACTCCTAATATTGGTAGTCGCCTTTTAAGTTTCACTTTTCTTATGTTGCTTTTAATCAACAACTGAGAGTATTAAAACATGGAAATTGCATTTGCTACAAATTCACCGTTTTTGATTCATCAGTTGTGACTTGATCTCCAACACGCTGGGTAAATAAAAGAAGAACGAGTCATGGAGTCCATATCCTCTGGTAACTGCCAGTGCCCTGGCTTGGCTGGGAATTGTTGGCAACACTTCAGCCAAAGGGAGTGTGGTGCAGTGCTGCACCCTAGGGGTCAAACTTGAATTCTGTAATGATCCATTACTGAAAGTGCTCTTGATCTTTATATATATAGGTTTTGTGAGGTTTTTAAACTTTAATTTGTTTAAGTTACAGAAAAGAAAACATTTAATAAATACTTTTTGTGTGTGACTTTCCTCATGATTCTTCATCATAATACTTTTAAACTTGTGTTTAAGTTTTGTGGATTCTGCTAAATGAACTTTATTCATATTCCTAAAGAACACTGTACTTTGTTCTTGTGTATAGATCCTAATAATCCTGATGACCTGGTAACAAGTAAAAACTAAAACCCAAGCTGGGCGTGGTGGCTCACAGCTGTAATCCCAGCACTTTGGGAGGCCAAAGTGGGCGGATCACAAGGTCAGGACATCCAAACCATCCTGGCTAACATGGTGAAATCCCATCTCTACTAAAAATACAACAAATTAGCTGGGTGTGGTGGCACGCACCTGTAGTCCCAGCTACTTGGGAGACTGAAGCAGGATAATCACTTGAATCTGGGAGGTGGATGTTCCAGTGAGCTAAGATTGTATCACCGCACTCCAGTCTGGGCGACAGAGCAAGACTGTCTCAAAAAAGAAAAAAAAAGAAAAACGACAAAAAACCTGTCCTACCGAATGGCTGATAAGAGTAGACTGTCCTTTTCTAGAGCATTATCCAGCCAGAAGTTTATCTTTTAACTCTTCTCAGAGTTCTTGTTTCCTGAAGTGACAATGATTGATGTCTAGAGATCTTTATTTACAGTGAATATTAACATGTTCCCTTAAGTATCCAAGAGTTTAATGATTACTGTGGGCTTTCTAGTATTGTTTTGCTTTAACCAGAAATATTTTATGGTTAAATACAATATGCCTAATATTCCAGGCTATTATTGATTCATGATACAAGGAACTAGGCAGTGTGGCATGTGTTTTCTAGATTCTTGCAAGAGAGCTCTGGAACTGGTCTGTAAGGGAAAAAGGATAGGCTTTAGTTAATTAAAGTTTAGACTAAAAAATTTTTAAAAATTTTTTTAAGAAAGAGTGAGGCCAGGCGCAGTGGCTCATGCCTGTAAGTCCCAGCACTTTGGGAGGCCAAGGTGAGTGGATCACAAAGTCAGGAGTTCTAGACCAGCCTGGCCAACATAGTGAAACCTCGTCTCTACTAAAAATACAAAAATTAGCCAGACATGGTAGCACATGCCTGTAGTCCCAGCTACTTGGGAGGCTGAAGCAGGAGAATCACCTGAACCTGGGAGGTGGAAGTTGTGGTTAGCTGAGATCATGCCACTGCACTCTAGCCTGGGCAACAGAGTGGGACTCCATCTCAAAAATAAAAAATAAAAATAATTTAAATAAAAGAGAGTGATACTAAGAGTTTAGAGATTATATTCTGCCAGAGGGTAGTATTTGAAAGTATCAATTAGATTTGGAGAAATATAAAATTTTAATCATTTATGTTAAATGCTCTAAATACATTTTCTAATATAAAAATGAAAACATTTTTGTATTTCTACATACCTATAATACCTGTACCACTAATATGTATTTTGTTTAATCTTGTTTTTATTATGCTAATTTAAAATTAGTTTATATTCTCTGGAAAACCCTTACTAATTGATGTGGAGGAGGCAGCCACACTTGCTGAATACATAAATTTTATAAACTTGAATCTCTTGCAACTTCTGTTTAAAAAAGCTTGGCTGGGCATGATGGCTCACAGCTGTAATCCCAGCACTCTGGGACGCCAAGGTGGGTGGATCATGAGGCCAGGAGATTGAGACCAGCCTGGCCAACATGGTGAAACCCTGTCTCTACTAAAAATACAAAAAAAAAGAAAATTAGCTGAGTGTGGTTGCAAATGCCTGTAATCCCAGCTACTTGGGAGGCTGAAGCAGGAGAATCGCTTGAACCCAGGAGGTGGAGGATGCAGGGAGCTGAGATCGTGCCATTGCACTCCAGCCTAGGCAACAGAGTGAGACTTCGTCTCAAAATAAATAAATGAACTTGAAAGTTCTTTTCATAGGTACAGTACTAACTTCATAATAGCAATTCCTTGATGTTAGTGGAACTTTCCACTTTTTGTCTTAGTTTTTGCCATTGTTTTCATAATCCCAAAGAGTGTCTAAAAGATGCATCTTAGAAAAGAGAATGTACAGATGTTGGTGTTGGAATCTGGGCTCTGTGGAAGAATAGCATTTATCTGGATTCTTGCCTTGTGCCATTAACCTAAAGCACATCTGTTTCATCTGCCAATAGGCTGGTATGGCATTCTGTAAGGCCCTATAAATAAGATTATTTCTGTTTATCCTGCTCAGTGTGTTTCCTGTAACAAATCGTTCAAGAAACTCTGGTCCCTTCATGAACATATCAAGATCGTCCATGGATATGCAGAAAAGAAATTTTCCTGTGAAATTTGTGAGAAGAAATTCTATACCATGGCTCATGTGCGGAAACACATGGTTGGTAAGTTTTTCTGCTTTTCTCTCATGTGTATAATTTTCTCTTGTTCTGTGTGCTTTATGCCCTGGATTGGGCAGGATATGAGGAATTGCCCTATTCAGTTTTGACATGTTGAAATTAACTGCAATATGTCTTCAGTAAGTATTACCAAATTGGATGGTATAGTCTTCCACACCCAGTTTCTTTTCAGCATTATTTTTCTCTTCAGGCATTACTATTAGAGATTCACAAAGGCCGGATGTGGTGGCTCACAGCTATAATCCCAGCACTTTGAGAGTCTAAGGTGGGCAAATCACTTGAAGTCAGGCGTTGACCAGCCTGGCCAACATGGTGAAACCCTGTCTCTGCTAAAAATACAAAAATTAGCTGGGCATGGTGGCACACGCATGTAATCCCTGCTACTTGGGAGGCTGAGGCAGGAGAATCACTTGAACCTGGGAGGACAGAGGTTGTAGTGAGCCAAGATCACACCAGTGCACTCTGGACTGTGTCACAGAGCGAGACTCCATTTCAAAAAAAAAAAAAAAAAAGCCTCACACCTCACAAATCATTCTAGAAAATTAGGTTGGCATAATTGCTTTACAGAGGATACCTTTTTAGTTTGAGCTTTTTGGTGGATTTGTTTTGACGCAAAGTACATTCTGTGTTGCAGCACACACGAAAGACATGCCATTTACATGTGAAACCTGTGGAAAATCATTCAAACGCAGTATGTCACTCAAGGTGCACTCCTTGCAGCATTCTGGAGAGAAGCCCTTCAGATGTGAGGTAAGGAATGTGCTACTCACAGATCCAGGCCTAGGGGCTAGTGTTTGCATAGGTGGCGGACCAGTGAGAGAGGTGTGCCAGAACAGGAGGCACAAGGCTGCCTTACACAGAACCTTCAGACATGGTCTCTGAGCTTGGTATGTGCTGTCACTGTGAGGTAGAGAAATGTCACTTTTAACACACTTAGATTAGATTAACTTGGAAATAACACATAATGACTTATTTTTCTTTTCTCAGTGATTCTGAGAAATTGAGTGTACTTCAATGATAATTTTATGAGGAAGTTTCCCTTTTATTAATAACTCACCTGCAGAAATATAGCAAAGCCAAATAGCTGACACAAGCAGGTTCTATTTGGAATATGAAAAATAAGCCTAATATCAGAGACTATGTTAGGGTGGGCTCAGGTAAAGCTACTGTGCTTGGCATTCAAAAATCTCCACTGTGTCCAATGCAGAACTGTGACGAAAGGTTTCAGTACAAGTACCAGCTACGCTCCCACATGAGCATTCACATTGGGCACAAACAGTTCATGTGCCAGTGGTGTGGCAAGGATTTCAACATGAAGCAGTACTTCGACGAACACATGAAAACACACACTGGTAAGAATTTCTTGGGAAAGGTACAGATAATGTCTCAAGCACTTGTTGATGATCATCTGTGGGTCTGTTTTAAAAAAAATCAAAACTACAAATTTGCATTTGAAGCAAAATTCCCACTTTAAATAAACCTAATATGTAAAAATATAGATTGGTCATACTGAAAAATTTAGCTTTGATATCTCTAGGATAGTTTAAAAACATATTATTTAGCCAGGCATGATGGCTCATGCCTGTAATCCCAGCATTTTGGGAGGCTGAGGCAGGCAGATCACAAGGTCAGGAGTTCGAGACCAGCCTGGCCAACATAGTGAAACCCCGTCTCTACTAGAAATACAGAAGAAATTAGCCAGACGTGGTGTGTGCACCTGTAATCCCAGCTACTTGGGAGGCTGAGGCAAGGAGAATCGCTTGAACCCGGGAGGCAGAGGTTGCAGTGAGTCAAGATTGAGCCACTGCACTCTAGCCTGGGTGACAGTGTGAGACTCCATCACAAAAAAAAAAAAAAAAAAAAGGATTATTTGTGAGTGTCTTAATTTTTAGTTATTTTAAGACCATGGGGTCTTTACTTGGGGTTCATAAACTCCTGAAATTGTATAAAATTTCTTTTGTGTATATGCATGTGTTATTTTCCTAAGGGTTCTGGACCTTAAAAGGTTGGAGGGCACTGGGGGACTGACTGCTTTAATAGAATACCCCTCTCTGTTTTGTTTTGCTTTTTTAAGACAGAGTATCACTTCCATCACCCAGGCTGGAGGGCAGTAGTGCAATCTTAGCCTCCACCTCCCAGACTCAAGCCATCCTCCCACCTTAACCTACTGAGTAGCTGGGAACAAAAGTGTGCGCCACCATGCCTAGCTGATTTTTGTATTTTTTGTAGAGACAGGGTTTCACCATGTTTCCCAGGCTGGTCTCGATCTCCTGGGCTCAAGCAATCTGCCTGCCTCAGCCTCCCAAAGTGCTGGGATCACAGGTGTGAGCCACCAAGCCTAGCCCCTCAGTATTCTTAGTTTGATTTGATATGATTTATCAAAATTTACTACTTGACAGGAACAAATTCACATTCTGCGAGGTTAAATATTTTAATCACTTTGTGGTTTTAGGGGCATTTATTCCATAGCATGGATTTGAGTCTTACAAGCATTTGATTATCCAGCTTCCAGGGAACTGGCTAACATAATAGCTCCCCTGAAAACACTATCATTGTATCTCAGTCTAAACTTGATGTTCTGAGATTAGCCATCTTTGCATAAATTGAATAGGATTCTAAATAAAACCTAATCACAGGATTCTAGGTTCCGTTCATCTACAGAGTACTGGAGCTAGAAAGAACAGAGATGATCTTGCTTAGCCTGCTGTTCATCTGCTTACCTAGTGGTGAGGAAATTGTGCCCATGGCTGGATCTCTTTAGTTCCCAGTTCTCTGTTGAAGCCCAAAGAAAAATGCACATCTAGTGGGCTTCTTTCTCATTCAGAACAGAGCACCCTCAGATTTTAAGAATTTTTAGGCTGGATGAAGAGTCATGAGAGCAGTTTAATTAGTTAAGTTAGACCTGAAAAGAAAATAACTTTGAAGATGTAGCCAAATAGGCCAGGCGTGGTGGCTCACGCCTGTGATCCTAGCACTTTGGGAGCCCGAGGTGGGTGGATCACCTGAGGTCAGGAGTTCAAAACCAGCCTGGCCATCATGGTGAAACCCCATCTTTTTAAAAAAAAAAAAAAAAAAAAAGATGTAGCCAAATAGATAGCAGGATACATCAGAATAGTTAACAGATTCTCCTTATAATTTGGTGGCTCTTGGATAGGTTCTTAGTTCTAGTGTCACTTTTAGGGTTTGTTTTTGTGTGTGTGTAATATGGCAAGAAACCATGGAACTAAACATCATAAGTTTTTGGGGATTTTGGGTTTTTTGTTGTTGTTGTTGTTGTTGTTGTTGTTTTAAGACAGTCTCACTCTGTCACCCAGACTGGAGAACAGTGGCATGATCTTGCAGTTCTCTTGCCCCAGCCTCCCAAGTAGCTGAGATTACGGGTGTGCAACACCATGCCCGGCTAAATTTTTTTGTGTTTTTTAGTAGAGGTGGTGTTTCACCATATCAGTTAGGCTGGTCTAGAGCTCCTGACCTCAAATAATCCACCTGCCTAGGCCTCCCAACGTGCTGGGATTACAGGCGTGAGACACCGCTCCTGGCCAGAACATAAGGTTTTTTTGAAGGCAGAAGTAGTGTCATATTTACACACACTGCTTGGCACATAGATGCTTGGTAAATGTCACAGAATTGAAAGGACCCTCTAGCACTTGAGTCTCTGCCTCTGTATCCCCCTTATCTTTTCTGGCTGTCTCCCTGTGTTTCTCCCCATTCCTTCCTCCCTCCTTCTCCTGTATTTCTTTCTTTCTTCTTCTTTGTCCTTTATTTCTTTAGCCCCTTAAATGTTCATAATGGGAAACTGAAGTGTTTCTTTCATGATTATATTAGTTATTGTATAAACTTACGTTGAGTATTCTTCTTTGACCAAATAGGCAAACTGAATACTTCTTGTTTCTTCTAAATGAATGCAACTGCACTGTAGTCTGGGTAACAGAGCAAGACCTAGTCTCAGAAAGCAAGACAAACCAAAAAAAATGGTAACACATACTTATTAAAATACATGAGAAACTATGAAAATTACAAACAAAATAAAATCTTATCACCAAGAGATCACCACTCTTAACATTTTGGCATATACCCAGTAAAAAAAATTCAGTTCTTTAGTTTCTTAACACACATATAGACAGATAGTTTGTATAAATGTTTATGTGTTCATGTGTATAGTAACAAAACAAATGTTGGGTCTTTATTGTAACCTGCTTTTTATTTTACTGTATTATGTCATTATTAGCAATATAATTTTAATGGCTATATAATAATTCTTCTTATAAATTTGCTATAATAGCTATCATTTATTATACACATGTATGTCAGGTATTATCTTAAGTGCTTTATCTCATTTAATGTACCCCTTGCAACAATCCTATAAAGGAAGGATTTTTTTGTTTGTTTGTTTGTTTTGAGACAGAGTCTTGCTCTGTTGCCCAGGCTAGAGTGCAATGGCCGGATCTCCATTCACTGCAACCTCAACCTCCAGGGTTCAAGCGATTCTCCTGCCTCAACCTCCCAAGTAGCTGGGATTACAGGCACGTGCCACCACACCTGGCTAATTTTTTGTTGTTTTAGTAGAAACACAATTTTGCTGTGTTGGCCAGGCTGGTCTTGAACTCCTGACCTGAGGTGATCCACCTGCCTCGCCATCCCAAACTGCTAGGATTACAGGCGTGAGCCACTGTGCCCAGCCAGTAAAGGATGTTTTCTCCATTTATTTAGCCAGTTCCCTGCTAGACATTTAGGTTATTTCTGTTCCAGTTTTTCTACTGTTGTAAATAGCCACAGGCCAGGCAGTGACTCATGCCTGTAATCCCAGCACTTTGGGAGGCTGAGGTAGGAGGATCATTGAGCTCAGGAGTTCAAGATCAGCCTGGGCAATATAGTGAGACCCCCATCTCTATTTTTTAAAAAATTGTTTTTAAACCCAGAGGGAAAATTTGCCTTATTTGCCCAGCCTTTTATAATTTAAATAAAATCCTTGCTGATTTGATAGGTGAGAAATGATTTCTTACATTAATTTGCATTTATTTAATTACTAAGTAAGATTGAACATTTTTATTTGCTTGTAGTTATCAACGTATTTTTGGAATTGCTTGTGCCGTTTCTGTGCTCATCCTTCCATTACAGTGTTTGACTTTTTAAATTTCATTAATATTGAAATACTTTCTCCTGGTTTGTCGTCTGCCTTTTAATATTATTCATAGTGTCCAAATTGGGAAAGCAGCTAGTTGATGAAGTTAGACAAACCTGGCTCTGCCACTCACTAGCAGAATTGTGTACCTCTCTAGGCCTCTGGTTTGATATTAAGTAAGAATGACAGTAGTGTAGTACCTAAAGGGTGCAGGAGAAATGTTAACATTTTAGAGAAGGATTAGCTTTAGAGAGGGAAGGGAATAGGTCTCTAAGGCTGAATGAAACTACATTTAGAGACAGCAGTGTGTTTTGGTGAGGATTAAGCACGTTGTATGAACTGACAGTATTGGACTGTTTCTTTGCAGTTAAAGAGAAATGAGGCAGACCGTATCTAGGAAGGCTGACCAGCCATGAGTCAGGGCTTGCTAGGATGGTGTGGACATAGGGTGAGTTCAAAATAGAATACCTACTGATTTTCCTTGTACCAGGCACAGTGCTACATGCCTAGAGACACAAGGATGGATTAAGACCTGGTTTCTTATAGTCTGCTGAATGGTAATGGTGATGTTGATGATGATGATGACAGTAGCAGGTAAAATGCTTTGAGTATCTGCTATGTGCTAGATACTGTTGTAAGCACTTTATCAGATACTGTTGTAAGCACTTCACATGTTTTTTATATCACAATAATCTAGTAGAGAGATTATTATCTTTATTTACTTTTTTGAAATGGAGTCTCGCTCTGTTGCCCAGGCTGGAGTGTGCAATGACGCGATCTCGGCTGACTGCAACCTCTGCCTCCCAAGTTCAAGCAATTCTGCATCTGAAAAAATAATAAAATAAAATAAAAATCTATGAGCTGCTGGGCATGGTGACTCACACTTGTAATCCCAACACTTTGGGAGGCCGAGGTGGGCAGATCACGAGATCAGGAATTCAAGACCAGCCTGGCCAATATGGTGAAACCCTGTCTCTACTAAAAATACAAAAATTAGCTGGCCGTGGTGGTGTGCACCAATAGTCCCAGCTACTCGGGAGGCTAAGGCAGGAGAATCACTTGAACCTGGGAGGCAGAGGTTGCAGTGAGCCGAGATTGCACCACTGTACTCCAGCCTGGGCAACAGAGTAAGACTCCATCTCAAAAAAAAAAAAAAAAAAAATCTATGGTAATGGCATTGGATGAGATTAAAGTGATAGACAAAATAGAACTTGGTGAATTGATTGGATT